CAGCTTAGAATGTGGGGCTCCTGGATCCTGATCCAACCTGTCCTCTGACACACACACACACACACACACACACACACACAGGCCCTGCTTTCTTGAGCCATTTTGCACATCTGTTCCCTCTAGGCCTTTAAAGCCTCTCACTTCTCTGGATCACAAAAGTCAAAGCCTCCACATGCGACTTCCAGCCGCTCCCCCCTTCACCCATCCACACGCTACAGTTCCTGATCCTAGGAAGGAGCCTACAGGGGAGCAGCCTGCTGGCCTCCAGCCCCACCCCTGCACCACGGGCCACGCCCACTCCTGACCAGGAAGCTGGTCTATGACCAGGCTGCATATTCCAGGGCTTCCTAGTCTACCTTTCCTCCAGACCCCAGATGCATGCCAACCCACAAACCTGGGGACGCTGCCTGCTTTACAGACCCCAGCCGGCCTGGCCGGGCTGTCCCCAGGTGCAAACTCTGACTCTGGTGGGAAAAGGAGGGGATTTGAGCAGCCCTTCCCTGGGCATGGCCCTAGATTTTTTCCCCTGAGACCGCCACAGGCTGAGAAGCCATCAGCCTCCTCTGTTGACTTCTATCCACCCTTCAAGACCCATCTCCAACCTGCGCAGCCAAAACCAATTCTCTCTCTGCCCCTAAAGCTTTCTGCAGCACTACAATCGCCAGCAATGCTCTACCTCCCAGTTACTTGGTTGGGAATAAGCCGCCTCCCCGCTCATTCCCCTTGGCCCCTGCTCCCCATAGCTAGACCACAAGTTGTAGAAGAACAGAGAGCAAACCTCATACATTTCTGTTACTGCTAGAGCTCCCTGCTCAGGGCCCAGTGCTTGGGAGCGGCTCTGTGTCTGGGGCTGAACACACAGCCACATTCACTGCCCCCCTCCTTACTCATGTCTCCCCATGAAGGAACTCTTTACAGCCCACGGCATCGTGGAGAGGGGCTACCCTGGAAGGAGACCAAGTCTACCATGTACCAGCTATGGAAGTAGGGGCCACTTAACCTCTTCAGTCCCGGGTTTCTTCATCTGAATAAGTGGGGCAGCAACCTCCAACTGTGGGACTATTGTGAGAAGGAATGCGGAACACACCTATCATACAATAATTGATCAATGAGCAGCCAGACGTAAAACAAGCCAGCCACCCTTGCTGAGCCCCTCTCCTCACCTCCCACTCACTCACTCTTTGGTCCATGGCAACGTGGCTTTTGTTGTGAAACTGCCACCGCCAGGGACACCGAGGCCTGCGTGCTGCCCGAGCCAAGTGGGCTCTCAGTCCTTAAGCTTCTCACCCTGCACAGCGCTGACCTCACTGTCCATCCCTTCCCAGGGCTTCAGCTTCATAAACGCATAAACTGATATGCTCAGTTTCCCCTTCTATCCTCTCAGCTGCAGACCCACACGCACCGATGAGCCCCCGGGCAGCGCCGCCTGGGAATCCCCTGTGCCCCTCAAACTGCGCGCCTCCGAACTGCACTCGCCTTCCTCCTTCTGCTCAATGTCAGACCACCTCTCCGCACATTCTAGCAGATGGCCCCAAAACACTGGGGTAGTTTCCCACTGCTGCTACGACAAACCACCACAAACACAGGGGCTTAAAACAACACACATTTGTCAACTCACAGCTCTGGAGGTCAGAAGTCCTAAAATCAAGATGTCAGGAGAGCCGAGTTCTTTCCTGAGGCTCCAGGGAAAAATTTGTTTCCCTGTCCTTCCTAGCTTCTGGAGACTGCCTGACCTCCTTGGCTCCTGGCCCCTTCCTCGATCTTCAAGACCAGCAGGAGAGCATCTTCCCATCTTTGCTCTCTAACTCCGGCTCTCCTGCTTCCCTCTTATAAGCACACTTGTAATTACACTGGGCCCACTGAATCATCCAAGACAATTTCTCCATCTCAAGATCCTTAATATAACCGCATCTACAAAGTCCCTTTTGCCATATAAGATAGCACAGTCACGGGTTCCAGGGATCAGGACATGGGTACCCTTGGCAGGGCCATAATTTGGTTGACTAAGCTTATCCCCTCCCTGTGCTCCAAACCTCTAGGATATCCCTCCAGTGACAGGGGGAAAAAAATGCTGACCCCCCTCCTTTCCATATCCAATGTCTCCATCTGAACATTCTCAGGTAATAGATAAGCTTATCCAGCATGTCCTATCTCTACTCTAAGGCCCCTCCCACTGGGTTTTTTAAAGATGTTCAAGTCCGTCATTAACAAACTCCCTTGACCCTATGTCTTCCTCTAGCCGCCACCCTTCCTATCTCCTACCCCTCTCCTCCACCTCATCTCTAATCACACACCTGAGAAGTGGCTCTACTGGCCACCGCCATTCTAATAAGGTCTCCACCTCACCACTCGCCTGCAAGGGTTCTCAAGCACAGTACTATCGATATTTGAGGTCCGACCATTTTTTTGTGGTGGATGCTGGCTCGTGCATTATAAAACACTGAGCACCTCAGCTGGCCTCTGCCTCCTAGATGCCCACAGCATATCCCTGTCCAGAGCTGTGAAGGCCAAGTGTGTCTCCAGACATGGCCAAATGTCCCACGGGCGGAAGGAGGGGAAAGCAAATTGCTCCAGGTTGATGGCCATTGTCTTAGAGTAACAGCGCCTGCTAAAGTTACCAATGACTTCCTCGGCACTAAATCCAACGGACACTTCTCTTCGAGTCCTTCTCTTGCTCGGCTTCTCAGCAGACTTTGACACTATCGGCCATTCTGGCCTTCCCACCTCTCAGACTGCTCTTTTTCTGTCCCCCCTGCAGGATCAGACTCCCCTTCGAAGCACTGACTGCTGAAGTTCCTCAAAGCTTAGTCCTAGGCCCCCTCCACCTCTCACTCAGCCTGCTCTCCCTGGGGAATACCCACTACACCCATGGCCTCTCTGACCACCTCCGCACAGGTGACTAAAGAAGTGGTATCTCCAAACCTCCTTTGCAAGCTCCAAACCCACATAGCTAACTGCCTGGTTGACCTCCGTTAGGATATCTTGATGTCACTCCAACTCAACAAGTGCAAACCAAGACCAGGATCTTTCCCTCAACGCAGCCCCACTTCTGGGAATTCCCGTTTCCCAGAGAAAGGCACCATTCCTGACCTGTTGGGAGAGGAACACTGCCCTGGTTGTTCTTGACGCTTCCCCCGTCCTTACTTAGGCCAGTCAGTCTATTTCCAAGTCAAATATCTCTTTCATCTCTGAAATAGTTTACAAACCGCTTCACTTGTCCTTGTGTCTCTGCTCCCACCCTAGCCCAAGCCTCGACCATCGTCGACTTAGAGAATGACCACAGCCCTCTAACTAGGGTGTGGACATCCTCTCTTGACCGATGCCCCCGCCCCCCCCCCTTAGTTCTCCATGCTGTGGCCAAATCACCCTTTCAAAACATTCAGTAAAATGTCCCATTGTTCTTAAACTAAAGAACAGAAGTCCCAGTTGGGACCACTGGGCTTCAAATGGTCAAGCCTTCACCTCCTCCTCCAAGCCCCTGTGTTGTCTGCTCTCCGGGCAGACTGATCTTCTTTCTGTTGCTCAAACACCCTATGTTCTCTCCTGACACAGGGCCTTCGGACATGCTGTTCCATCCATCTGGTTGCCCCTCACCGATCTTCCCCTGGAGGGTCTTCTCTTCCTTCAGTCCCAGCTCAACTATCAGGAAGCCTTCCCTGCAGTCTTCCAACCCCCTAGCCTGCCTTCCTCTGCTGTCCTGCATCCTCCCATCTCTGTTCAAGCTTGACTCCTAAGAGTTGTCTTGGATAATTCTTTTTTATGTCTTTGAAAACCCCTCTTCCTCACCTCCACATCCCATCCATCAATAAATCTTGGTGATTCTCCCTCCTAAATCTCTCTCCAATGCACCCACCTCTAGCACCTACTAAACCACCCTCTTTCCTTACCTGAACCGCCATCCGAGCCTCCCACTTGGTGTCCCAATTCTCCAGGCCACACCTCGCTTGCAATGCTTGTGGCTTCGCCTGGCCCACAGGAGGGGCGATGCACTGACCCTGGTTTGTGAGACGCAGCACGATCTGACCCCTGCCTTCCTCTCCTTCTTGCCACTCAGCCTCTCAGACTCATTGCTGTCGCCACACGGGACTTCTCAGAATTCCTCTCTCGGCTGTTCTGCCTGCACGGAGCATTTCCCCATCTCCCTTCTACTACTGCTACTTGCTCTTCAAGTCTCTGGATAAAGGAAATCTTGCCCAAACCCCTCACGTCAGCCAACAATAATAATAACAGCTGATATTCGCTGCATACTTACTAAGGGCAAGCATGGCTCTAAGAACTTTGCACTACTGACTCATTTAATCCTCACCATTAGCTATGATTATCCTGTTAAAGAACAGGCACACAGAGGTTAAATGACTCGTCCAAGGTCACATTAGACAGTAAACAGCAAGGCTGGATGACAGAACGAACTTGGGCTCCGGGCCTCACATGCCCGGACACTATGAACACTGCCGCCTCCCGCTGTTCCCAGAGCGTCCTGCATTCCCCCTTCAGTAACAGTTCTCACATGTGCACATACTTGTTCAGTGCCCGCTCTCCCCGCCAAGACTGTCCACGCCCTGAGGGCCGCGACCATGTCTGCCTTATTGAAGGCTTTACCTCCAGCACCTAGCCCAGCACCTGCCGTTACTCTTTTAGCTGAATGTCATGCTTTGCATTTCCACAGCCTCCAGCTCCAAGTCACCAGCTCCAGAGAAGGGCATAGGGAAACCCTTCATAAATGCCACTGAATGGGCTCCCAGACACACACAGGGAGGACTCACAAGGAAACCACCCTACTGCTGATTCCGCTGAGATGAGCTCCACAGCATGGCCTTCAGCCACCAAGGGCTGCAGCCACTTAGCTGGGGCAAGGGGACGGCAAGATTCATGATCTACCTGTCCGGGGATGACGGCAGAGAAGTTCTGGAGCCAGGCTCAGCCAGCGAACGGCTCCCCCTGCTGGTTCCCTTCCATGTTCCTGGGCACCCTCTCCCATGGCTCTGCCCGGGGACACTCACCAGCCAGGAGAAGAAGCCAGCTGACTTGTCCTGGGTGGAGATCTGCCCCTCATAGGGGCCGAAGATGTGGCCTTTGGGGATAACCTCATTTATGCACCGCACATCATTCTCCCCATTGGCGTCCTTGACCACCTCCATGCCCTGTGGGATGGTGAGGGCAGCCCGGTCTGGGATACCCACGGGCACTGGCGTGTCAGACACAAACACCGGGGGACCATGGTTCGGGCATTCATCCACGAAGTACTCTTGGCAGGACTCACAGACTGGAGGGATAGAAAGAGGAGAAACTCAGTTGTTGGGGGAGGCTGAGGGGCTGATGGGAAGCCCACCCTGAGGACAGCACAGGGCAGCGGAAAGCACTGCATGGCACTCCGGAGCCCCCGCCCTGGCTCCACCCCAGCCAGCTACAGGCCCCCGGGTCTTCAGTAGCAATAACCCAGTACGCTCCCTGGAGGCTCAAGGACGTGCCTGCCAACACTAAGGAAGCCAGTAAGCTCCCTTTGTTTCAAGTTTGATAAAGCAGAAGAAAGAGCACTCTCTGGAGTCAGATGGGAGTGGGTCTGAATTGCAGCTGTGCATCTGCCGGCTGTGGGACCTGAGGCAGGGTTCTTTCCCTCACCCAGCCTCAGTCTCCTCACCTGGAAAATGGGACCAGCAACAGCCACCTCAATGGCTAACGGGGAGGATTAACTGAGGCATGGACCTGTGTCTAGTACTTAACAGGTGAGTGCTGATCATCAGCATTACCCCTGCAAATTCCCTAAGCGAGATGGGGTATGAAGGGAGGAGCAGCCCAGCAAATAGCCCCAAGCTCCACTTACACCAGAAGTCCACTTGCTGGAAACTTTTGGGCATGATGAGGTCTCGCTTCCCCTTCAGTTTCTTGTGCTCCACTTCCATGGCCGAGGGGTCTGGTCTCCTAGAGCTGGCCAGGACAGGGGCCATTAAAGAGAGCAAAGAAGCCGTCAGCGGGAGAGGCTGGTGGGCAGAGAAGCCGAGGCCACAGGAGCAGGGCAGGTGGAGGAGCCCCAGCCAGCCTGCTCCTTCAGCGCAGCAGGCAGCAGAAAGGGAAGAGCCCTGAGACCTGGGCCTAGGCCTTCTTGGGCCACTGCGTGGGTTTTCTAAAGCCCGTGCTCACCTCTGGTCCCAAGAGCAGTGCAGAGAAGGATAAGGAAGGTGGGCAGGGAATAGGAACTTTCTGCAGGGCTCTCCCACCAACCCGACCAAGCCAGCCCTGTGATTCCCCCCGTCTCCCTCTCCTGTCCCCACACAGGGGCCTCACCAGGGCTGGCCATACTCCTGGTCTCGGAGAGGCGAGCAGACCTCTGTCTTCACCACCGTCACCATGTCCCCCACAGCTGCCTTGGTCTGTGCCAAGCACTCCTTCATGTTCTCAGTCATTCTGTTCTGGGGTCGGGAAGGGGGGACCAGCACAGGAAAAGGATCAAAGAAACAGGGGAAGAGGGGTGAGTGTCAGAGAGGGCAATCGGGGGTCCGCGGAGTCTGGTTACCCTCCCTGCCATCCCCAGAGGAAGCGCTTGAGAACACAGACAACAAAAACAGCTGTAGCCTGGCCAAGAGGAAATGCCATTTCTATCCCGGGCTGGTCCTGGGGACGACTGGAGCCACCAGCCCCATGGGGTCAGGGGCCAGGGGCAGCTCAGGCCAGGAGGCAGAGCTGGACAGCACAGCCTGGGCCCCAAAACCAAAGGGCAAAGAGTATAAGGAACCCGCAGGAGCCTCCGCACAAAACTCTGCAGTGGGGAGCAGGGGAGGGATCCACTCAAGTCCAGCTGGGGCCAAGGGGGGCGGGCTAATGAAATGGGCCCTCAGTGACTCGCGGTGAAACCCCTAGCCCAGGGGCTGCCAGGGAATGCAGGCAGGCCCGCTTGGCCAGCTCAGAGCAGGTACAGGCGGAGCCTGGGGGTCCTGGTGTGGGCTGGCCCTGACTCCAAGCCCCACCCCGCTCTATCTAGGGGACTCTTCCCAGTCGCCGCTTACCGCCCTCCTCCACCACTGCGCCGGGCTTCAATCCCTCCCTCGGCACCCCAGGGTCCTCATGCCAAGCCCGGGGACACTCTTCGGGCCGGGCCAGGCCAGGGCAGCGCGCAGCTCGGGCTGGGACCGCGCTGGCCCCGGGACTGGGCGAGCGGCGTGTGTGACTCACTACCCGGGGCCCCGCTGGCCACACCCCTGCTCCTCGGCTAATCAGCCCCCTGCTCCCCACCGGGGCCCCAAAGCCAGCGGCGGCAGGGAGGGGTGTGGGGAAACATGACGGCCTGCCCCCTCCTCCGAGCCGGCGGGGACGAGGGGAGGGGAGGCGCGCGGAAAGGGGCGGGGGCTGCCCGAACCGGGCCGAGCTACCCCGCTCCAGCCCCGGAGCTCGCGGGTCGTCCCGTCCGCGTGTCGGACGGGGAAAGTGTGAGACACCGCGATCAGGCCGGGGCAGCGCACGGGTCGGACGCGGGGGCGACGAGGGCGGCCTGGGAGGGCGCGGGCTGGCTCTTTCCCTGTCACCAACCTTCCCGGCGGGGCGCTCCCTGCCCTGCCCGGCCGGGCCCGGCCCTGCCCAGCGCCCGCCCCCCGCCCGCTAGGCCCGGCATTCCTTGCGGGGGCATGTGGCTTCTTGCCGGCCCCGGGGGCACGCAGTTGGCTGGCGGCCGGGAGGGGGGCGCGCGGGGAGCTGGAGGAAGCGAGCGCCCGGGAGCGGGGGCGGGAGGGGGCCCCTCGGGAGGAATTCCAGCCCCTCTCGCGGGCTCTGCCCCCACGCGGGCCGGGGGGCGCCGGACGGGTGTCTGGTGCGGGTGATAGCGCGGGGGAGGCTGGGCCCTGTGGTACGGCGGGTGGTGGTGCAGGTCTGCGAAATGCGCGAGCAGCTCTCGGCGCGCCCTCCCGGCCTTAGCAGCCGAAGCGCTCCCGCTGCAGAGCGGCCTGCTGCGCCACGGGAGCGGCCACTACCACTCAACTCGCCGGCGGCGCACCGCACGCCCGCCCCTCTTCCCCACCTGCGCGGCCTAGGGTGGGGGCTGGGCGCCTGCAGCTTGCGGCTCTACGCTTGGCCGACCTCATAGCCCATGGATGGACCCCGGCCTCCCATGAGAGGCAGGAACCTAGGGGCTGGAAGGTGTCAAGTGAGTTGCCCAAGGACAAGCAGTCCATTCCTGGTGACGTCCGTACTGGAGCCTAGGGCCCTCTCTGAGTAAATTGGAAACAGAATCCCCAAACTCAAGCGGGAGGTTTGCGGTCTGGTTTTCGTCCATGCCGTACCCTCTGCCAGGTCCCCTTACAGAGGGATCATCACCCAGATCGCCCTGGGATGGGCTCAGGCCTCAACCCCCATGTCCAGCTGCCAGGTGCGGACAAGAACCAATGCATTTGAAAGGGATCGCTGAACACCCCTGCCCTGAGGAGCACTGTCACTTGGGTGACAACATTCACACACAAACAACCTGAGGCAGTTCTGTCCGTGGTTCAGAGCCTGCGCTCCAGAGCAGGGCCTGTATTCAAACCCTGCTGATCAGCCAAGTGCCCCTGGGCAGGTGTGATGGCCTGAATGCCCACACCCCGCCCTCCCCAGTTCATACGTTGGTGCCCAAACCCCCAGGTGCCTGTATTTGCAGACAGGCTCTGCCAGGACATAATAAAGGTTAAATGATGTGGTAAGTAAGGGTGGGGCCCAGATCCATCAGGGCTAGTGCCCTTATGATATGAGGAGGAGAGGAGACACAAGAGCTTGCTCTCTCCACCAGGTGAAGATAGTGGAAAGGCAACAACAGTCTACAAGCCAGGAGGCTTCACCAGAAGCTGAAATTAGTCAGCACCTTTATCTTGGCCTTCCCAGCCCCCGGAACCGTGAGAACTAAATGTCTTGTTTAAGCCACCCAGTCGGTGGCATTTTGTTAGGGCAGCTGAGCTAACTAAGGCATCAGGTTCTGTGCTCCGACTTCTTCGTCTGCAGAATGTGGCTAATATTAGAGTCTATCAAGACATTGCTGTATTAGACCGAGATGAGTTTGAAGGGAGCGAGGCACAGCTTGTGCAATCCCACCGAAGAAGGCCCATCAGGAAGGTGGGCATGAAGAACATCATGGCGGGGGAGGGGGCGCTTTGAATTCTCTCCACTGGATTGGACTTGTTGTTGCTGTTCTTTTAATCGGTTATGTGCACGCTCTGGCTCCGTATTAGAGACAGGTTGCTTGGGGCCATTTTGCATTGGACCCCCTGCTTTGGCCCTCCTGCCCCTCCGCCAGCCGCACCTGTACGCCATGCTCCACCCCACTGTGGGGCCCATGAACTCGCTGTGTCCTCCACCTGCGCATACATGGGAACTCCTACCCCAACCGTTAGCTCTCACTGTCCCCCCTCCGTAATAACCTGTCCAACCCCATCTCCCTCTCCTCGTGGCGCCTGTCACACTTAGAACGGTCATTCATTAGCCTGTTTGATTAATATCTGTTTCTCGTAATGGGTTATGAGCTCCCAAGGGTGGGGTGCAGGCCCTTTTGCCCGCCACTGCACTGCCAGCACCTGTCACAATGCCTGACACCAGGGCAGAACTAGCCAAAGACAAGGTGTCAGGGCATAAACTTGAAGGCACCCACTCTCAGAGTCATGCACTTGTAAGGATGGCACCCAAGAGTGAGTGCCTTAGATTTTGCACGCTGGGGGCCTTGCTTGACTTACCGTGACCTTGGCCTTACCTAGCGCGTAGAACATTCTCAATAAATATTTCCCAAATGAATGAATGACCAAATGACCCATGTCATAATTCACTGCCCCCCTCCTCTAATATATATGTCCTGCTTGCCCTGTTGAGAATCTCAACTCTAAAAGAGACCTCAGAAGGGGAGACGTGGTGGGGGGTATTGTTCTGAATACTCTTCTCACGATGCTCTCTAAGTGAGTCCTGCCAGGCAAGGTGGGCAATGCTGGCCTTGAGAGGCAGTGAGGTGCAGTGGGGAGTGTGGTGGAATTAGACTCATGAGGTCTGGAGCCTGAGTGTGATAATAAGTTGTAAAGTGTAAGCTGTGTGACCATGCGCACATCACTTAAACCAGGGATGCCCAACCTGTTAGCAACCAGGCCGCACAGCAGGAGGGGAGCGGCCCAGCCAGCGAGGGAAGCTTCAGCCCACTGCTCCCCATTGCTGGCATTACCGCCTGAGCTTTACACCGCCTACCCCCCAGCCCCCGCCCTTAGAAAAACTGTCTTCCATGAAGCTGGTCCCTGGTGCCAAAAAGGTTGGGGACCGCTGACTTAAACTCTCTAGGCCTTAATGTCTTCCTGGTAAAGTGGAAATGATCCTAATTGGTTATTACCCATAAGGAATAAACGAGATAAAGGTGGGGGCAAGGCCTTGGAAAGAGCCAAGTGCTATGGGTTTGTAAGGAATATTAACATTACACTGGCTGCCTAGAGGTAAGGAGGTGAACAAGAAGGGCAGTGAGGAGACTGGGGTGGAACGCGGGTGGAGGGAGGAGAGACTAAGAAAGAGGGAAGGGAAATAGAGAAGAGTAGGTGTAGTGAGAGGGTAAAAGATGGGAGGGAAGAAGGAGAAGAGAGAGGGAAGTGGGGAGAAAAAAAGTAGGTGGCAAGGGGAAGGAAGGCTGAGAGACAAAGGCAGGAAAAAAGGCATGCAGACACTTTTCACGTCCTAAATGGTCCCGGGAAAGCCACCCCCTGCTGAGGAGAGCATTCATTTCTAGCTCCAGGTAGAGAGCTCCACAGGCCACTTCCTTGCATGCCTTATTTTTCATTTGCAGCCCACCTTCATCACCTTAAAGGGCTGTGATGATTTATAACCCAAACACGTAGTCAACAGGGCAGATGGACAACCAGAGACATCATGGAGAAAGAGTAGTGCTGGTTATACCAAGAATCTGTCTTAAGATGGTTAGCGATCTAGCTTTCCAGTCAGTTCTGAACCTCCTAGCAGCTGAAGCAGAAAAGGAAACATGATGGGTTACAGAGGACACCTATGTATTGACTGCACAACTAAGTTCTCTCCATTCTTAGAGGAGTCCAGTTGCCTGGAGAACCAAAATCAAGCCTTACTTGCATGACTGATGTGCGTTACCTAACTCCTGTGTCTGTAAGGAAGGCTGTGGGGGCAGGGAGGGAGAAATGGGATGTGGCAGAATCAGTGAACTTCCATTTGGGAAGTGAGAGAATATGGACTTGCGTCTTTCACTGAGTCCATCCCAGCCGGCACTGTAAGGCCGGAGCAGGTGAAGCTCCCCAAACCATTTCTGCAGACTTCTGTGGCCCTGCTGGCCCGGTGAGGGACTTGGGGGAGGTGTGGTGAGCAGGCCTCGTGGAGGACTCCGAGCTGCTGGCAGCGGTCCCTCTCAGCTGGCTCCTCCGAGTCTGCACACGCAGAGATTAGGCATGTTGCAAACCCAGCAATG